TTTATTGAAGAGATGATACATGAAAAGATGTTCACTGTCATTAGCTATTGTTGTGTTGTTCTTGTATGCCATCAAGTCAATTCTGACTCTTAGTAACCCTATAGGGAGATGTAAATTAAAACTACAGTGAAATATCACTGCATATTTCTCAGAATGGCTAAAATAAAGAGTGATAATGTTTTCAGGCTTGATCCATGTCATAGCATGTATCAAAACTCCACTTCTCTCTATACCCACACCCATTGCCATTAGGTTGATTCTGACACATAGTGACCCTAGAGGACAGACTAGAACTTCCCCAAAGGGTTTCCAGGAGTGGCTGGTGGATTTGAACTGATGACCTTTCGGTTAGCAGCCATATCACTTAACCACTGTGCCACCAGGAAACTGCATTTCTCTCTACAGCTGAATAATATTCCATTGCATGTATATATTTTGTTTATCCGTTCAATATGTTGGTTGACATTTGGGTTTTTTCTACCTTTTAGCTACTGTGAATAGTGCTACAGCGAACATTGGAATGGTTGCACAACATGGTGAATGTAATTAATGTCACTGAATAGTACACATAAAAGTGGTGAAATGGCAAATGTTTCGTTATTGTAAAAATGGTGTGGTGGCGTCAGAGGTCCTCTATCTTTGTGGAGGAGGACAGTCAAGATCATCATCAGCACAAAGCTGGTTCCTGTGAGGTGGCGGTCAAACACCTCCACCCTCCAACCTTTTTACCAACTCTGACACCAACTGTCCCTCCTACAGCACTCACTACTTCTCTGCTGGTTTCAAGAATTCGTTGTAATGGCCACACAGAACTTACAGACATTACTCACCATTATGGGATTTATTAGGGAAGTAACAGGTTACAATTCAGGATCAAGAATGACATAGGACACAGTTCTTTGATCAGGCAGCTTCTTCTCAGCTGTGCTCACATGCAGGCCTCTCTCTGGCCCTCAGCCTCTCAGCCTATTTCTGGCCTTTGACCTCTTGACCTTGTCTCTGCTGTGCGTGGACAAGTGTTACAAAGCTCTTTAGCTCTGCCACTAAGTGCCTGGAGGTATCTCACTCTGCTGGTAAGCCTCTGTCCAAAGGCCCTCAGCTCTCTTGCTCTGTGGGTTGGCACCCTGTGGGCTGGGAAGCCCACTGCGCCATCTGCTGCTGTTTCTTGTGCTGTCTCTAGTGTTACAGCTCTCTGTCCCCTAGGTCTAGGAGGTTCTCAGTGCAGAGACCATGGGTCTAAAGCATGTGCTCCACTGCTGGCACTTATTTGGTGGTAGTGAGGTCCCCCTTTTGCTCTGGGATTGGCTCTATTTTAATTAAGCCTAGCAGGATGGCAACACTGACCAGTTCCCTCTTTAAGGTTTCATATACCTTATTTGCATGGTCCCACCCCCACAGAGTTTCCATTCTTAGCAGAGTATCCAATCCCCTTGCTGGGCCACAAACACTTTATTTGCATAGTTCCACCCAATCATTTTGTGGGAGTCACAAAGGCTATGGCTAGAAGGGCCATATTAAGTAATTCATGGCACCACAGTTACCTATATTTTGCTACAATTAAAAAAAAGAACACAGGTGAGAATCTAAAATAAACTAATAACTCAAAAAAAAAATAGAGTGATAACATCAGACGCTGGATGTAGATACATGGCAGTGAGAATGTAAAATGGTGTAACCAACCTGTAAAAGAGTATGGCAGTTGCTTATAAAACTAAACGTGCTTACCATAGGACCAAGAAGTTGCACTTTTGGGCATTTATTTCAGAGAATTAAAAACTTAGGTTTGCACAAGAGCTTGTATATAAATGTTTATAATCATTTTATTCATAATAGACAAACACTACAAAAAACCCAAGTGTCTTTCAGTGGGCAAATCTTTAAACAAACTGTGATGCATCTCTGTTATTTCTTACAACTGCGTGTGAATCTTCAATTACCTCAAAATTAAAAAAAAAAAATTAAGAATAAGTTTTTTCATAGCTCCTTCCTGCTGAAAAATCCTATCATGCTTTCCTATTCCCATTTAAGGCTCTCTACAATTTTTCTCAATTCTATACGTTCAACTTTATTATTCACTATATAGCCTCTCTGCTCCAGACAGACTAGTAAACTTACCAAGTCTCAAATATGCTTTGTGCTGTATCACCTCTGTGTCTTTGATTAAGCAGTGGCCCGTTGACTAAAGCAAAACCAAACCGGTTGCCGTTGCGTGGATTCCGACTCATAGTGACCCTATAGGACAGAGTAGGACTGCCCCATACAGTTTCCAAGGAGCACCTGGTGGATTCAAACTGCTGACCTTTTGGTTAGCAGCTGTAGCTTGTAACCACTACACCACCAGGGTTTCCAGGCCCTTTGACTAGAATGCCCCAAATAACTTTGTTAATTTGAATTTTATGTAAAATTCAAGACCCAAATCAAGATCAGTTGATACCTTTCCAAAGTACTCTAGTCAACAGTGATGTTTGTCTCCTCTGAATTCTTGTAACTGTTGTACTGCTTCTTTGACATTTAGTTCTTTATTGTTTTGTATTGTTTAACCTTTTATCTGCCTAATTAGAATGTAAGCTTATTGAGTGTAGGGACCATGTCTGCATGCTCATATGATGAAAGAAGATGGAATGAGATTGGGAAATTTATTCCTTATTTTTTCTACAAATGCTGTGCATGAAGAGCTGATAATGGAAATAACTAATTAGTGAAAAACTGACTTCTAGGGTACTACTGTGTTTTACTTGTTATCTTAAATTGGTTTGCTTCATCTGTCCTTTCATTGCTGTTAGTGATACTACTATTTTAGCCACTCAGAAATGAAATACTTAAGTTCTTCTTTTAATAAAACATTTATATTTAATTGTAAAACTAAAAAACTGTTAAAATTTAAACAGTATGGGAAGTTATTCAATTTAATGAAAAGTAAAAATTTCTTTTCTAAAGACCTTTAGTCTCAGTCTCTAAAAGCAGCCAGGGTTAATTTGTGTGCATGTGTGTGTGTGTGTGTGTGTATGTGTGTAAGGTTAAGAATTTTAGACTATTTCTGGGCAAATACAAATATTTATGTATCTATTTAACCTTTTATTTGTGCAAATGAGTTTGAATGATACCTACTGGTTTATATCTTACTTTAGAGATGGCTCTATGTAAACATACATAGATTTGTGTCATTCTCTTTTACTGACAGCATTATACTCCGTTATTAAATCAGTTCCCTATTAATAGACATTTAGGGCTTTTCCTTTTTTAGTAATTACAAAGAATGTTGCATACATCTTTGGGCACTAATTATGAGTCTATCTGAAGGATAAACTGTTAGAAATGCGATTGTTTTATTGAGGATTTCTGCATTTAAAATTTTTGATAGATATTGCCATTTTATCCTTCAGAAGGGTTTTACAAGTTTATCCTGTCGTTTATTTCCCCGTGCTCTGGACAATACCATGCATTATCAAACATTTTAATCTTTGTCAATCTGATAGATGGAAAAGGATGATCTTATTTTAATTTGTATTTCGTTAATTATGAGTGGAGGCTGAATATTTTATCATATACTTATTGGCTGTTTGCATTTTTTGTGGACTGCTTATATCTCATATATTTGTTCACATCCCTTGATTTAGAAAGTCTTCCTGTTTTAGAGAAATTGAACTTTTTCCTATGAGTTGTAACTATTTTTTTTTCTAGTTTGTCATTTGTGTTTATGAGTTTTTTTTTTTTTTAATACAGAAGTTTAAAATTTTTACTGACATCAGATTTAACAGTCTTTTCCTTTCTGACTTCTAGGCTGCAGTTTACTTTGACTCTTTCATTCCCACATTATTGTATCTAATCTGTCCTTAAATATTTTTTTAAACCCCTTGTCGTCATTTATTTCTCTTTCCTTGAACTTACACTTTCCTGGTCCAGGGTTTCATTTGTATTTATATAACATTCTTTGTTTAGTTCTGGCACACCTACGTTAGGAATTTCATTCCTCTAATGGAAGCCCTGGTGGTGTAGTGGTTAAGAGCTATAGCCACTAACCAAAAGGTCAGCAGTTTGAATCTACCAGCTGCCCCTTGGAAAATGTGGGGCAGTTCTACTCTGTCCTATAGGATCGCTATGAGTTGGAATTGACACCATGGCAGTGGGTAATCTGTTCTGCATACTACTTACTGCCTGACTAATTTTCCTAAAACATATGTGCTGGGTGTCTTCTTAGTGCCCCTTCAGATCCATTCTTTTCCTTTTTCTACCCTGTACTGCTCACTGAGAGGCTAATCTGTATGGACTGTTTCAGTGGGCTTTCACGCTCTTTGGCGTTAAGTTTGATTTCTCCAGTGGGGAGCACTGGCAGGAGATTGGAGAGAGAGGGAGAGGGAAAGGGAGAGAGCGAGGTTACCAGATTATATTCATGAAATACATAGAACTCATGAATAGATAGAATTATATAATTTAAATTTTATACTTATATGTTGTCATTAACTACTAGTTAATTTGCTTTGTTGTTGTTGTTAGTTGCCATCTGTTTGATTCCAACACATGGTGACTCCATGTGTGCAAAGTAGAACTGCTCCATAGGATTTGCAGGGATGTGGCCTTTCAGAAGGTCTGAAGCTCCTCTGGGTTAACTGTGCTGCCCAGGGACTCTAATTTACTATGAGTTAGAACCAACTTGATGGCACCTAACAACAACAACAGGAACCCTGGTGGGGCAGTGGTTAAGGGTTCAGCTGCTAACCAAAAGGTTGGCAGTTCAAATCTGCCAGCCGCTCCTTGGAAACCCTGTAGGGCAATTCTACTCTGTCCTATAGGGTCACTATGAGTTGGACTCCACGGCAAGGGGTTTGGTTCTTTTTATTTTTTAAACAACAACAACAACATCTGTGAATAAAAGTTAAAGAATATATTAATTTAAAAAATTCGTATGTCTAGAATGCTCATTCTAGTTATTACTTAAGTATAATTTAAGCTCTTATTATTTGATACATTAAAATATGTTTTATTTATTGAAACTTTAACAGGGGTACCCAAAATCCACCGGAAACAGTGCAAGTTAGTGGAAGTGCAGAGAAGATAATTGAAGGTGATAATATTTTATACATGTTTAGCCCTTATAGGGTTTTCTAAATACATTAACATTTTAAGACTTATAGCTTGAAATCTTACAGTCATGAAAATTATAGCATGGTATATTTAAAAAATATCCAGTAGTGAGTTTGACATTTCAATAAATGTTCTTATTTTGTTCTAGATTCTGGGACTGTTACAAAATAAATAAAAATTGTTACCCCCACGAAATTCACAGCTTATTAAGCACACAGGCATATGTATATTTCAATATAACGTAATACAGGTAGTTCCCGACTTATGACGGGGTTCTGTCCTGGCACCTCGGTTGTAAGTCGGTTCTGACGTAAGTTGAATACTTCGTTTTTTTTTTTTTTCCAAGTTTTCATTATTATTGCTTTTATTATCAGTATCTTTATAAATCTGATCTTTATTTGTCTTTGGGGGTTGGAAACATTACATATAAACTGACAGATATATTTTAATACATGTATAAATACATAAATCATAAAAATTTACTCTGATGATGAAGAAGAGTTGGACGTAGGTGGCATTTTGTCAATTGTGGTAATAACTTCACTTGTGGAAGGTTATGGATCATCTGGATTATCCCTGGGAATGGGGATGGTGTTTCTAGTCAGAAGTTTAGCGAGAGTTGTCTGTATGGTCCTTTTCCTTTTTTCTTCACATATTTTATGGAAACATCTCACTGCTTCCCGAATCTGCCTATCAACTGTAGCATAGTGATCAGCATTTGGGTCTATGTTTTCAAGCAACTGAAGCTCCTGATTTAGTTTAGAAAAAACTTCAGCTAATCCTTTCACTGTAAAATTTTTTGACAACTCTCTTCTTCTTCCTCATTCTTTCTTTCTTCAGCATTACTTGTTCAAAATCCATGAAGTCCTAATCTGTCAATTCCCCTTCCTTGTGATTCAGCATTCATGGCATATGGATGATTTTTTCCAACCATCTCTTCCACGATAGCATCCTGATCGTATGCTTGGAGCATGTTCATGTAACTCAGCAGTTTTTTCCATATCCCCTGCATTCATTTCCTTTAACTTCCTCTCAGAAAGATGCAATTTTCCAGATACACTGAAGAATATTAAAATTCTTCCAGAAATTGCGTGATGTTACTGTACCTCCATGTCTAGCAGCAAATGTAGTCCATAGATAGTATGCATTGAAGGTGACGATTGCACCTTGATACGTAGGCTGAATCACAGCTGTCATTTTGGGAAGTAGACACACCACCTTCATTTCTTGATTTAGATCAGCTATGTGAGGAGGGGAGCCCCGGTGGCGCAGTGGTTAAGAGCTACAGGTGCTAACCAAAAGGTTGGCAGTTCGAATCCACCAGCCACTCCTTGGAAACCCTATGGGACAGTTCTACCCTGTCCTGTAGGGTTGCTATGAGTTGGAATCAACTCAACAGCAATAGGTTTGGGTTTCTGGCTTTAAGATTGAATGCACGGTAAGAATAACTTATAGTGAGGTTCGTGTCCCTTCAAAAGTAACACTGCAGTTCATTATTGCAAAGGCATTATTTACTGTTCAGAAGCTAGATCATCAGGGAGCCAGTAACATCTGGAAACAATGAATGGTGTCAGGGAGACTATGAATGAATGAAGACTGAGAATAGCTTATCCTTGTGGTAAGTACATTCTTATGAGAACATAGCAACTGGGAAACTTATGAGGCTTATCTCACAGAAATAAAGGCAAACTTGTCAAAATAAACACATATCCAGGAGGCATCACCTAAGACATTGCTTGATCTACACAAAAATGAGGCTCCAACTCAGGGTTCTTGAGTTTCACGCTTTTCAAAAGGCTTGCGTCGTGAGGATAAACACATTAAAATCAGGGTACTTCCTTCCCAAAGAACTCCAGAGGCATAAAAAGCGATTGGGATTCCATATGCCCCACGAGTCACTAAAGGGTTTGTTGAAACAGTTGAATGAGACAGTCCTTCCTCACGTGCTATTTCACTGACTTTCGTTCCATTATCATAGGCCTTAATGATCTTCATCTTTATATCCATGTCTAGAGCCTTCCTCGCCTTCTTTGGATTAGAACTTTTTTTTTTTTTAATTGTGCTTTAGGTGAAAGTTTACAGTTCAATTTCTCATTCAAAAATTTATACACATATTGTTTTGTGACATTGGTTGCAATCCCCACAATGTGACAGCACACTCCCCCTTTTCACCCTGGGTTCCCTGTGTCCATTTGTCCAATTCCTGTCCCTTCCTGCCTTCTTATCCTGCTTTTGGACAGAAGCTGCCCATTTGGTCTCATATATTTGATGGAACTAAGAAGCACATTCCTCATGTGTGTTATTTTTTGTTTTATAGGCCTGTCTAATCTCTGTCTGAAAAGTGGGCTTCAAGAATGGTTTCGATTCTGGATTAGAACTTTCAGTGGCATGACTTCTTTTGCTAGACATAGTGTTGGGGATATAAGCAGTGCAGGTGTTACAGTTAGAGAAACTTGAACAACTTGGCTTCAGATTAACAACTAATGCTTCTTATGGTATGAAATGCTGAATAAGATAATGCTATAGGCCAGGTCTACAATGAAGTTGGTGTCAGAGTCATAACAATTAAGTATGAGTCGTAATGACTGTCAGGCACATGAGCAATTTTCTGTTCATTACAACTCTCGGCACTGACACTCACTTCATTGTAGACCAGACAGTAGCTTGCGATATAGTGTTTTGAACAGTAAATCATAAAATTGAACATCTCTGAGTGAACATCTGAGAAAGATAACATCAGCAAATTATGCGCTGCAACATCGTATGTAGTACATGTAACTAATGATAAGATGTACAAAAAACAAAACAAAACAAAACAATGGATGGTTGTAAGTGCAGTTCATTGTAACTTGAATAGATTGTAAGGTATGTGTAATTTGCAGTGGGTCCAGAAAAAGAAGCGATTTTTTCAACCTGAGGGGGTTAGGAAGATTTGATGCAACCTTAAAGGATAAATAAGATTTTCAAGTAAAGAAGGGAGATATTTGACCTTTTAAGAAAAGGATATAGTCTGAAACAACGGCAGGATATGTGGACAGGGAAGAAAATATGGATTGGTATTATTAGAGTAGGAAGTAATAGGTAGGGATAAGGTAGGAGAGAGCTTGGTTATAGAGGGACTTGGATGCTGTGCTAAGGATTTTTTTTTTTGGAATTTTTTCTATGTATAATAGGGGATCATTAGTGTTTTTAGTAGGGAAGTGACATTTTTGGATTTAATATTAAAGAGATTATGCTGGTAACTTTGTAGAAGCTAGAGTATGGGTGGTAGATTGGCATGACTGGAGGTAGGGAAGAATTAGGAAGTTATTGCTATGTTTTAGATGTATGATAAGTGTCCTTATTAGAGAACTGGTAAAAGAGAAGAAAAAGGACAGATTTGAGAAATATTGAGGGAGAAAGATGTGGCAGTCTGCTTCCGTAAGGATTTACAGCCGTGGAAACCCTATGGGGCATTTCTGCTCTGTCCTATAGGGTCGCTATGAGTCGGAATCGACTAGACGGCAGTGGGTTTGGTGAAAGATGTTTACTTGGTAGAAATGGCAAAACTTGGTAATTGTATATGAAAGGAAGGAAGATTAGATGATAATACTATTAAGTAATATAAGAGAATATAAGTGTAAGAACAACTTTTGGTGAGAAAACAATAAGTTCACAGTTGCTCAGTTGTTATATAAATTCTTTCAGATGGTGCCATTTGTTGCCTGATCAAGACAATCTATAATGTTCTTAGCTATTATTATCTCATAGAGTTTCCTTTCTTTTGAATGAGTTAGTAAACAAAAGAAACTATGAAATTTAAACTCAACAAATATATATAGTTGATATTTGGGACTTACAATGACAAATTCATTTCCTATTATTTTAGACTTCTTAAAAGCCCACTCAGCTGAAGAATTTACAGATACTTCTGCAACCGAGCCACGTAAGTTTCTACTCATTTAAGCATCATTGTGTTAATAATCTCTGTTGAATGCATTAATTTCTATAATTTTCTATGACTTAAAATAATAATAATTAGAATAACAACACAGATTCCCTGGAGTTTGGAGCCATGCAATTGACTTAGTTACCAGACAAGTACTGAAATTTCTAGTTAAGGCTACATGTTACCAAAAATAGACTCATTTTTAGAGTTTCATACTAGTTCTTAGAATGGAAGATTTTTAGTTGTGATTAGAAGATGCTACTGAAATGTTACGGATGTGGCAGCATTTGAGGTGGAACAGCAATAAATTTAAAAGGTGATTTATAGAGTTTGTTACTAAGAATTACATATATGGTGTCAAATCCTCCATTACCTGCATGTGAGTAGCTGTTAGTTCATGAATATAAAGAGCTGCTATAACTAGTATGTCATATTTCTGACTGCTTGTCAAGAGAAAGGAGAAATGACCTGATATGGAATTTTGAAATAATCATGTAATTTATACTGTGGAATACAGATTAGAAGTGGAAAATAAGATTTGGTTGGAACAAGTTGCTGAGAATTCTACTCTGTTTCACCTTTATCTTTAAACCCTATTGTTGCCATGTGTAAACCAATGACAGTTGCACATTCACCGTACTCCCAAGTTCTGTAGAGACTTCTGATCCAAGACAGCCCTGACTGACTGAGTGTGGTAGAAAGGGAGCTAGAGCTTTGGAATGGAGAGTGAAAGCATCTCTTCACCTCAAGGAGAAGAACCCTGTGCACACGTCTGGTGTGCTCTCTCTCTCTCTTTCTGTAGCTGTCTTCTCTTTTACACTGTGCCTTATAAATTCTGGCTACCTTGGCCTCCCCAAACTCTGAACTTTGTCTGCTCAACTCAAGGACACTACTAGCTTCTGTTTGGGTTCCCCTTCGTAATAATGAAGCCTGGAAACTCTCTCCAGGCAGTAAACTGGGGTCGTCATAGGGCTCTTCTCATTTGTTTTCCTTCTGCCAGGGATCACTGCCTTGCACTTACTGTTTTCTAATGTTTGAATACCACTGTTTCATATTATTTTGTCCAGTTTTTAAGTGGGTTAAGGTGGAGAGGTAATTGATGGAACATGATGCTTTCTCTATCATGGACAAAAGCAGAATCCCTGTGCCCAGTTACAGGTCAGTGGAACATGTCTTCCAAGTATAAACCTAAATTCCAAGAGTCAAATATAATAGAAGTTTTACTTAAAGATCTTAAGGGCAGTGGAGGACAAGGTTTGATTGCACAGTGTAGAGAAAAACCATTTACAAATTCTTAAGAACCATTGTCCATGGCAGCTATCTCAGTTCCTGGACTCTCTCAGCCTTTCTTTGTTTCACATATTTACTCTCTCCTTTTCTCTTAAAATTACCTCCTTCTCATATTCAGCAGCCAAACTTTATTCTCTAGATTCTGTAGCCTACTCAGCAAGACTGAAGCTACCTCTGCATTGCATCATGTTTTTATACAAACGACAGTGACCTGTTCCTTAATCTTACCCTTTTGGGTTCTCAATGTATTCCAGCCCAAAAGCAATCCGGATGAGTCATAAAGCATTCAAACAGTCCCTTAGGGGTAGTCTCAAGTTGGAGTTTTGCAAGGAGTCACAAAATATTTTCAGGATAAAATACAAGTAATGCAGGAAAAATATTCTCTGACGTCTGTTCAGGAAGGGCCTAGCGTATATTTAGGGAAAATAGTTTAGTGTGTGAGCTTGTGGAGAAATTGAGACACCAAGGGAATCTGAAGGGGAAGAACTTACTGATTCTTCTTGGTTGTTCTAAGTAGATCAGGGAAAAAAATGAAAATATTTAGTCAGGTTTGGAGGCGTAGAGCTAGTGAAGTGAAGAAAGTTGTGGCCTGAGAGGTAATATTTCTTCATGTCCTCTCAAATCTTCTGTTTAGTTTTAAAACTGATAAAAATGAGGGTAGGCTTCACACTTAGACTGATATGGATAGTTACTGAGGCAGCATGTGTGGGCTGAGGAATGTGGAGGCAGACACATGAAGTAAGGCTGTGGAGCTCACAAAAATTGTGAGGGAGCCACAAAATTAGGGATTTGGGAAAGTTTAACTAGATTTTCAGTAAATTGAAGGGAAACAGCTAACATCTGATTGTATTAAAAATTAAGTGAGCTTTAGAAATTACTATTATAATTTTTAGGTGATATTTCTATTAATTATTTACAGTGCTAGAATTTCTAGAAAGATGATAATGTGTTTATCATAAACCCATTTGTTCTAAAGATTATGATTTGAAAATTTGCTGTGAATTTAAGATTGTTCATCAGGGCACTTACTGGGTGTATGGATATTCTTTCTTCTTAGTTCTTTAACTTTAAAAGAATTTTTATTGTGGTGAAACATGTATGACAAAACATTTGCCATTTCAACCATTTTTACTTGTACAATTCAGTGACATTAGTTACATTCACCATGTTATGCAACCATATCATTATCCGTTTCTAAATTTTTTCATCACCCTTAACAGAAATTCAGTACTTATTAAGCAATGCCTCCCCATTTTCCCCTCCCTCCCATCCATGGTAACCACTAATAAACTGTGGTCTGTATGCATTTTCCTGTTCTGGATATGTCATGAAAGTGGGATCGTGCAATATTTGTCCTTTTATATCTGACTTATTTCACTCAGTATAATGTTTTCAGGGTTCATCCACGTCGTAGCATATATCAGAACTTTATTTCTCTTTACAGCTGAAAAATATCTGTTGTATGTATATATCACGTTTTATTTAATCATTTATTGATTGATGGACACTTAGGTTGTTTCCACTTTTTTTGACTATTGTGAAAAATGCTTCTATAAACATTGGTGTGCAAGTATCTGTATGAGTTTCTGCTTTTAAGTTTTTTAAGTGTATACACAGGAGTGGAATCTCTGGGTCATATGGTAATTCTATGTTTAACATTTTGAGGAACCACCATACTATACTGTTTTCCACAGCGGTTGCACCATTTTACATTCCCTTCAGCAATGGATGAGGGCTCCAATTTCTCCATATCCTCATTACTCCTGTGTTTTGGTCTAAGCTTTTTATGGTTTTAGTTCTTACATTTAGGTGTTTGTTCTACTGTTAGTAAATTATTACATATTGTGTGAGACATGGGTCCAGCTTTATTCTTTTGCATGTAGAGATCCAGTTGTTCCAGCACCATTTATTGAAATGACTATTTTTTTCCCACTGAATGAACTTAGCACCTTTGTTGAAAATAAATTGACCATATATGTATGGGTTTATTTCTGGACTCTCAATTCTATTTCATTGGTTTATATGTCTATCATTATACCAGTACCAGACTGTTTTGATTACTGTAGGTTTACAGTACATTTTGCGTTCAGGAAGTGTGAGTCTTCCCACTTTGTTCTTCTTTCTCAAGATTGCTTTGGCTGTTTGGGGCCATTTCAATTCCATATATATAAATTTGAGGATTGGCTTTTTTATTTCTGCAAAGAAGGCTGTTGGAATTTTGATAGGGATTGCGCTGAATCTGTAGATCGCTTTGGGTAGTATTGACATCTTAACCGTATTAAGCTTTCCAAATCCATTAACACAAAATGTCTTTCCATTTATTTAGATCTTCTTTAATTTCTTTCACCAGTGTTTTATAGTTTTCAATGTACAAGTCGTTAACCTCCATGGTTAAATTTATTCCTAGGTATCTTATTCTTTTAGGTGCTATTGTAAATGCAGTTGTTTTCTTAATTTCCTTTTCAGATTGCTCATTGCTGGTGGTGCAGTTGTTAAGAGCTCCTCGACTGCTAACCAAAAGTTTGGCAGTTCAAATCCACCAGCTAATCCTCAGAAACCCTATGGGGCAGTTCTACTCTGTCCTACGGGGTCGCTGTGAGTTGGAATTGACTCGACAGCAACAGGTTTGGTTTTTGGTGTAGAGACACCTACCTGATTTTTTGTGTGTTAACTTTGTACCCTGCACTTTGCTGATTTCATTTCACTTAGCTCTAGTAGATTTCTTGTGGATTCTTTGGGATTTTCTATATATAAGATCATGTCATCTTGCAAAAAGGATAGTTTTACTTCTTTCTTCTCAATCTGAGTTATTTGATTCAGTTGGAAAACTTAACAGGGTTGTTAGATTCTTTCCATAGGCTTTATTGACTTAGCAGTAGCAAGCAAAGCAATTCTCCCTTAGCATTGAAGAGTCCTCTTATATGCCATACCATGCTATAAGGAGGTCATGCATGCTGGACTGTAATCCAGTTTTGTCACTTACCAGATACATAGTTTTGATTAAATTATATAATCTCTCTGAGCCTTAAATCCTTTATTTGAAAATGATGACAGCGTATTTTTTTTAGAGTTATTTTGAATATTAGGAGTACATAAAGCAGCACAGTGATTTGCACATAAACCAAAAAAAACCAAACCCATTGCCGTCGAGTCGGTTCTGACTCATAGTGAGCCTATAGAGCAGAGTAGAACTGCCCTATAGGGTTTCCAAGGAGCAGCTGGTGAATTTGAACTGCCAACCTTTTGACTAGCAGCCCAGTTTTTTAACCATTATACCACCAGGGCCCCGATAGTATGTTTAATAAAATGGCACTTATTCTCATCACAAGCATTTTGTTCTTTGAGTACCCATATGACCCTGATATCTCCTCTATGTATTTGTCCAGTTTTCACACATATGGATAATAGTGAGTTATGTCAGCATAGAGCTATAACTTCAGTCATTTGTAATACCTGTAAAACTTTTCTTTTATAATAGAAACTGGGTTTTCAATGACTAATAGATTGAATGCCATGATGAAAATATTTGAAAAACAGTCAAGTATGTTGGAGAGGTAAGCCTTTAAAATAACCTCTTTTTGTAATTATAAAAACTACTGCGTATTTATTGCAGAAAATTTGGTGACATAAAGAAGAAAATAAGTCTGCTATTAAAATTTTAGTGTTCCTATATTAATTTTTATGATTATACATATGTGTATATATTAAAATTATAATTGCAGTCATACAAAATGTAGTTTGTATATATACTTTTTACTTAATTATAATTCTTTGCAGATTCACATAGTTCTATTTTTAAATAAATATTTAAAATTAAAGCATATATTCAGAAAAGTTTCTTTTATTCTTAAATAAAAAGAATTTTATTTATATAATGTAACAACATTGAAAATTTGGGAAATTTTATATGATAGGAATTTCTAATGAGCCAGTCCAATGATTAGGACCTATAGGAGAGTGAATTGGTAACCAGGACAGGAGTAAAGAAAAGGAAGTCCTGGGCAACTGGTAAAAATGGAACTCAAGGACTTATGACTTGCATTAATTGATTGTCAGGTATTTGGTATGTAACTGATCCAGGTCCCACTTCATATCTATGTTCTATCCGATCAGTCTTTCCTATCAGAAGGATAGAGTAACAACTTTATCAGCTTTGTCGATGAAAGCTTTAACATGTTCTGGGGCATTATTAAAGTAAGAGGCTGGTTTCCGGGAACATTCTTTCCATTTGACCAGGATATTAAAGGAGCAGGCTTCCAGTCTATTATATAACTCCTCATATCGAGCTATTGGTGCTATTCAAAGTTGGTTTAGAATTCTGGACATAGCAGAAAGCAGTGGGAAAGACTGTCTGAAGGGGTTACTGTAAAGGAGACAATTCTATACTTAAATTGTCTTGTGCCCAGAAAAAATTTTATTTGTTAGGTCAGAATATGCTTTGTACATTTCTTCGCATCTTAAGAAGTATCTTCAAAGTTACTGTGGATGACCTATAGTTCTTTCAGGTGGCTAATGTTATATTAGGTACATAACTAACATGTTGAAAAAACATACCTTGTGGAATGAAATCCCAAAGCAACTTAATTTGAACTTCTTATGTTCATTTATATTTGCTAAGTGGGGCTAACCCCCTTTTACTCCTCGATAAAAATTAAAGAAGTACCATGACTTTTCTGATCACTCTTAGGTAATATTAATTTAAATTTTATTGACAAAACCGTACTAATTTATAAATTAAAATGCCTTGTCAAATATTATAGCCAATATTTTAATTTTAATTCAAAGTTAAGACATGTTTCCTGCCCCCACCCTCAATTCCAGTTGGAGCCTGCTGGGGAATGTGGTAGATTTTTGTCTTTCTTTACCTCCTTTCCCTGTAGCTGGTTGCAGTTTCTGTCCCACATATGTTTGGGGAGGAAGGAAAAAACAGGTGTATAGGAGGTTACTTGACTATCACTGTGCCTTTTCCATCAGAGCAGATAATACGTATCAAATTTTCTGAGTATTCTCTTTAATAGTCCTAATTTCCGGTCAGGATCACAAACACAATTCTGGATAAACAATGTTCTCACCAATGCTGACAACTTCATCCACAAGAATGGACCCCAGTTCTCAACACTTTGTTCACCAAAGAGATAATAATGCTTTCATAAGCCATCTACAATCCAACCTCTAGTTGGAATTCCAGTTTGTGCCATAATTGAAGAAAGAGCTTTTCAAGCCCTTCTGGACCTATGCTTACTTGTCCATTTCCTATTACCTATAGACTAACAGCAAGACAGAGCCCTGGTGACGCAGTGGTTAAGAGCTTGGCTGCTAACCAAAATGTCTACAGTTCGAATCCACTAGCTGCTCCTTGTAAACCCTATGGGGCAGTTGTACTCTGTCCTATAGGGTCACTATGAGTTGGAATCGACTCGACAGCAATGAGTATGGGGAAACAGCTAGACAATGCATTGACTAGATCCTGGAAGAATATATCTATTACCTTTTCCCAGAGATTGGCATGATTGCCTTGTCTTGTTACTGTGTAATTCATGAATAATAACTAAATAAAATCCCATTTTCTCTGTTATATTGACATGGCTTTCATTGCACTACATCTGCTTACCACCGAACATCTACCACTACACCAATAACTGACATCATCCATTTTTTCTTGAAACCACACCTCCCCTACCATCCCTCTGAAAAAATATAATTCCTGAGAGGGCTTACTAGACCGTAAGCCTTTGTCTAAAGTTAATTGGTCCAGAAGTGGGTCCCTGTCCCAGTGCTTTCAGTGCAGCTTTAACTTCCTCCTTCAGTACCAGTGGTTCTTGATCATATTCTTCCTCCTGAATGGTTGAATGTCTACTAATTCTTTTTGGCACAGTGACTCTGTGTATTCCTTCCATCCTCTTTTGATGCTGCATGCATCATGCAATATTTTGCCTGACTTGATGGCAACTGGTTATTAACATATTTAGTTGTGTGACTTTTGAACATAAATTAATTTTCATTTGAGTCGTTCTGACTAAGGATGGCAAGTGTTGACTGAAGCAAAAAGTTAAATTAAAAATTTATTATTAAAATTTTTTAAATACATGTTGTCCCTGACGTAGAACGTATCTGAGTTACACCAAACCAACCACACTTACCACTGTCCATTTTTTTTGTACATCTTATTGTTAGTAATATGTACTACATACAGTATTGCAGTGTGCAATTTGCTGATGTTATGATTCTCATGCCAACCTCTAAAGACAAATAAAGATCGGATTTATAAAGATACTGATAATAAAAGGCGATAATAATGAAAACAAAAAACAAAACAAAAATGAGGTCTTAGACTTACATCAGAACCAACTTATGATGGAGTCAGAATGGAACCCTGTCGTCAGTCAGGGATTACCTGGAAATAAGTGAAATAGAAATGTATATAATTGAATTTTAAAATGGTTTTTGAATATTTGTAGCATTATGCTTCTGAAGTTATTAAAGCTTAAAACTGCAGTCAGACTTTTGTCACACCCAATATTTATTTTAACAGAATGTTAAAGAATGTAACTATAACAAGTTGTTAAATAGAGGCATTAATTGAGGCCTTTAAACCGCAGTATCACATGTATCACATGCTTTCATAAGCCACCTACAATCCAACCTCTAGTTGGAATTCCAGTTTGTGCCATAAGTTGTGACATGGATGACCTAATAACACTTGGAAAAATGTAGCAGTCAAGAAAGAGTGCTTAAAACCTTTCACATATATGGAGGATATAGGAGTGTCAGGAAGGGTTTGCAAAGAGTATTTCTTTGCAGAGAGCTATTGGGTTTCTTGAGTCCTATTCTAACCCTTGGGAGATGGGTATGGGAGGGGTGAGTGTGCCTGCCCTTATCTCAAGCTTACTGAGAAGCTTTAAGAAATCTTCCATAATGTTTATCTAGAGAGGTTCAGAGGTTAGAAGTAAGGATTGTAGGCTCTTGCCTTTCAAATAATCTTTAGCCCAGGTTCATGTATCACAGGTATTTATGTTATATTAAAAGTGGAGTCATCATAAATCCGATGGAACAAATTCAAAGTCTTGAATTAACTTCAGTGGCCAGTTAGGGCATTGGCAAGGCAAGGGCATCAATTTGGCCAAAAACAAGAAATATTTTTATTTCCAAAATTAAAACACCTTGTTCAAAAATGAAGCAAAGTTAAAAGATAAGCAATTAATGGACTGGGAGAAAATTTTTGTGCAAATAAGATAGAAAAAATGAGTAGTAATCAGAATATGTAAGTCCACAAAAGAAAGAATAACAATCCAAAAGAAAAATTGGTAAACTGTATAAATAGATAATTCAAGGAGGAGACAAAAAAATGGTCAATAAACATTTTAGGGGATGCTCAGTCTTACCGGTGATCGGTGAAATGCAAAGCAAAGTAACAGTGACTTTTTTGTTTATTTATTTTTTGCCTATCAGTTTAACAAAAATTAAAAGTTTGCTAGTATCAAGTCTTGACAAAGAAGTAGGGAATGAGAACTCTTAAAATGCTAGTACAACAGAAATTGCCTGTTTTCAAGGACAATTTAGTCCAGTTTATTTAACATTAAAAAGGCATAACTTATTATACAGCAAATCCCTTTTTATGTACCTTAGGGAAATAAATACATATAAGTTTAAGGAGACATATAAAAGTAAATGTACTGCATCACTGTGATATAGCAAAAAACTAGAAACAACATCAATGTTTGTTAGTGCATAAGACCCAAAACAAGAGAAGAGATTGAAAAGGTAACAAAAAATCTCCAACAACAAAAAATTCTGGCCCAGCTGGCTTGACTGGAGAATTCTACCAAATATTCAGAGAAGAGCTCATCTAGTACTACTCAAAGTATTTCAGAACATAGAAAAGAAAGGGATACTTCTGAATTCATTCTGTGAAGCCAGCATAAGCCTAATACCAAAACCAAGCAAAGACACTACAGTAATAAAAGATTACAGACCAATATCTCCATGAATATAGATGCAGAAATTCTCAACAAAATTCTAGCCAACAAGATTCAGCATCATATCAAAAAAATAATACACCACGACCAAGAAGGGTTCATAACAGGTATGCAAGAATGGTTCTACATTAGAAAATCAATCAGTGTAATCCACCACATACATATAAAGAAAAGAATCTCATGATCATCTCAATTGAAACAGAAAAGGCATTCGATAAAGTCCAGCACCCTTTCCTGATAAAAACTCTCAATAAAATAGGAATAGAAGGGAAATTCCTGAACATAATAAAGGGCGTCTATACAAAACCACCAGCCAGCATCACTGTCAATGGAGAGAAGCTGAAAACATTCCCCCTGAGAATGGGAACAAGACAAGGATACCCTTTATCACCACTCCTATTTAACATTGTGCTGGAAGTCCTAGTTAGAGCAATAAGGCAAGAAAAATAAATAAAGAGCATCCAGATTGCTAAGGAAGAAATAAAACTATCCTTATTTGTGAACGATGTGATACTATACATAGAGAACCCAAAAGACTCCACAAAAAAACTACTGGAACTGATAGATAGCAAAATAGC